GAAACCGGGAGGTGAAGGTTGAAGGGATTGATTCGGACGGTCGACCAGCACGCTTCAAATTCGTGCTGCACGAGGACGAGCTGGAGGAGTTTGAAGGGCCCGGCACCCACGATGGCTGTGTGGAGGTTTGCACAGAGTTTGCCGAGGTGATCGTGCACCAACTGGAGCACCGGCTTGGCGACCTGAACGGGATGTCCGGCGCTAGGCTCTTCACCCCCTGGCGACGAGTACCCACTGGAGCGTGGAGAGAGGAACCGCAGGTGCCTCGAGTGGCTTCAATCGCTTGTCACGCTGTTCAAGGCCGACCTGACGGATGCGATCCTGCCAGGTAAGCCATTAAGCAGCTTGGTTTTAATATCAGGCTACCCCAATGCATCGTTTGTATTGCATGTCGCTTCAATGAATGTTTGAATTTGGGTTCTGAGCTTGCTCCTCCTGTTTTACTTCCTATCCCGTCAGGAATTGACAAGCGCCGCGCAGAGAAGGAGCTGCGCATGTTCACTTCGGTGCTTGCAGCATCTACCAAGGGCGAGCGCAGTTTTCACGCGGGTCTCACTGCCATGCTCAAGACTCCCGACTGGCGGGAGAACTACCCCGACTTGGTGCTCCTGTGGGTGGCGGTTGCTGTACTGCCGCTGCACCGTGGAGTGCGAGCGGGGGTTCTCCCGCCAGAACATCATTAAGTCGTGGAAGAGGGGCGCGCTCAAGGATGCTCGCCTGGGGGACCTTATGTGCATGAGCTTGATGGATTACGCCCCCGACTGGGATGAGATTGTGACAGTCTGGAGGAGTTACAAGAAGCGCAAGCCCCAGAGCAACGCTCCACTCCCGCCTGCAGGAAAGCAACACAACAAGAAGGGCAGGGAGGCAGATGAAGAGATGGATGTAGTTGACCTAGAAGATGAGCAGGATGCAGTTGACTCCGATGATGATGATGGATTTAATGAGTAGGAGTCTAGGAGAGGAGGATTAGTAGGATGTTGTAGTGCTAGGATACATGAATAGGGTAGTTCTAGCTGGGAGCTAATCAAAGAAAAGTAGCATTTTGTATGTAGGCTTTTGCAAGCAATGTACGTTACGTAGTTCAAACAGGACAAACAGTTCAGCAAGACAGCTAGAAAGACAATCAGACTTGATAGGCGGGTGATTCTGAATCTTTCAGACTTTTATTTTAGGGAACTCTGAACTATCAGCCTTTTTTTTTTTTGCAACTCTGTCAGATTCAGACTACAACTTTGTGAGAGTCTGACGAATCAAGGCTAAAAACGAATCTGAGGGCCTGATTTACCTGCATGCTTACACTTACTAGGATCTAATCACTACAGTGTGTCAGAGGTCCACTGGTGATCCCCGATTGATCCTAGGGAAGGGTTACAGGCATGTTGGCCTGGGGGGTTACGGGCGCACTGACCTGCTACTTAACAAGCCTTTTTATCCCAATGGTCTAGTGGTTGAGATTCTGACACAGTGTTGCTTATGCATGTGTACTCTTGCTTTTTTTTGATAGATTTTGTGACCACTTGTTCTCCCCCAATTAACCTATGGAGGTGTGTCAAAATGTTAAAATGTTCATATTGTGTAGGTTGTAGTGGGTTAATTCAATAGAGCATCATGTTTTCCCGAAAACCCTTTCAAAAGTCATGCAGTTTGAGCGAGCTGCTTTGACACCTCATGCAGTTGAACACTTGTGAGACCCGTTGAGCCTGTCATGTTATGCAGAGAAGGCACGCATGGGGACCTCGGAGCACCATGGGGATTGTCTTGAGAATCCCGCGAATACCTCCGGAGAGACCCTCCCTGATTGTCTTGGGAATACCCGCGGGAAGAGGGTCTGCCCGCGAGGACTCGATGATTCCAGGACGCAGGCGGAATATTGAATAAGATCAGGCTCGACATAACACTGGGTGTTGATGTGGTAGGCCGTGGTTGAAGTGCTGCTTTTGTGATTGTCGAACCTCGTCCACCCAAAAAATCACCGCGATGTGTCCGAGAGCTGGCAGCACAAGATCCATCTCTGCTATAAGCAGACGCGTGCACTCGTACGCAACCAGCTGATATCAGTGATTTGTCAAAAAACGAGGCGACGCATGAGTCGAGTGCGGATGCATGAGACGTTGAGGCGGAATTTCAAGGGGCGTTGGGGTTTTCTCGGGGTGCATGGGCAGCAGAGCAGCGCCATGCGGAGCGGATCTGCCCCCAGGGGAAAAGATTTGCGGACTGCGTTCTCCGGAGTTTTTGTGACAATGTTCATCCCCGTTATTAGAGACTCAACTGCACGCAAATCAGGAGAGGCAACAGAGAAAAACGTGAGTTATTTCACAAACAGTGAAAGATTTACAGGAGCCAAAAATATGAGTTGCTGATAAGGGAGATTTGCTTCTAGAGGAAGAGAAAAAGAACTAGGACTTAAGAGTTAGCTAGAAATTAATTCGTTTTGTTACCTTCAGTATGTGCAAGCGCTGTGATAAGTGTGCAGCTTCGTGTCCTCTTCAACCGCTTCTTGATCGGGGAAATCACAAGCATCGTCTTGAGACTTGCGTGACGGCACGTATGTTGCTTCCCATCGATTGTCCCAGCGCTCGTTTCCGTATCTCGCGGCGAAAATACAGGCGTCGCTTCGTGAAGTGCGCCCAGAAGGAATGCAGGTGCCGATGCTTCTGGAAGCGACTTGGAGAACCGGTCCGGGAACACGGAAATGTGCGGCGGAGTTTTGTGAAGTCCGAAAGAAGGCTCGGCGAGCGAGCTCGGTCTCACTAGATCGGGAGCATCCATGGCAATTAGCAGATATTTGAGGAGGTAACCTGGAAGATTAGAAAGTTATTATGAAGTTGACTACTCGTGAAGGGGAGGAGTTTGGCAGGTAGGCAAACGATTAGCAAGCTGGCGGTGAAATAAAGCCTCTAATCGCATTTATGGTTGACCACGCTGATTGTATAATCGCTGGTATGAGCTGGCGGTCAAGTGCTATCTCTCAGAAATTGGCGTTGCTGGGTGCCTGCGACGAGCCTGATCATTTGCGGCGTGCTGTGCGACGCTTCGTTTGGTGTCTTTCCTCGCCTTGCCGAGTATTCGTGCACTCGCTCGCTTCGCATTTCATCGCAGGAGTTTACACAAGCACCCGAAAGCCCTGTTCTGTGTGTTCCAGCCAGCTTGTTGGGGAGAAGGCGGTTGTTGGGTGCGTGCGACTGCGAGTCCAAGCGTGTGGTGTCGTCTACCTATTCTGTGGGGGTGGGGCTCGCCTCACCTTCCCTCACCTCACCTTGCGCCAGCTCAATTTGTCGCCTTTTTTCGCATCGCAGGAGTTTATCGCAAAGCACCCACGCACAATGAACCGCCTGCGATTCGGCAGTTCAAAGCAAGGCGAATTTGAAAGCGCGCGGGAATGTACCACATCTGGGTTTTGCGGGCTTTGTCTCCCACCAACAACATCGAGCGAGGGAGTGGGGTGAAATAGTAACATAACATATCAGAACTCAGTTCGTTCCAGTTCGGTCAGAAGGTTAGGATCTGGAAATGAAAGCCCAATGATTCTGAATTCCGAGGAGCTGTGGCGCCGAGTGGAGAAATCCAAGATGGATGTGATGCAGACTTCGACTCTTGACAATTCCTCCTGAGGGAGAATGCAGCCCACGTCAGGATGAGACGTGGCATTGCAAGTACCAGGTAGAAGTTTGTACATTATCGTGCGCCTACAAGTCGGCGCCGCAGAGTGGTGTTTTGCAAGTCACCAAGGCGCCGGAACTCACTCAAATATCCTCGCTATTAGTCTAAATACTTGTACAAGTGCATGGTAGTACACTCACTTGAAATATCCCAGGATAGCATGAACTCAATATGTGTTCAAAATAGGACCTAAATAAGTCTTCGGATTCCAGAGATACAATGTGTGAAATTCAATATCGCAAAGAGAGATATAATCAAACCGACAAAGAATGTACGAGCATAATCTAACCAATAATAATTGTGTTTTTTAGTATACAGCTGTATACACGGAGTACTCAACTTAGTAGATCACATTGATGCTGCATTGTTTCATCATGTATACAGCTGTATACACGGAGTACTCAACTTAGTAGATCACATGTGGGATTCATCATGAGATTTCAGAACATATGCATAGACGTTTTTGCACCACCTAGGTTCTGAATGTTTCTTCTGTTTGGCAGCGGGTGAAACAATATCGTCGAGTCAACTGGCCGCTGTCGCGTTTCCTCCAGTCAATCAGCAGCGGAGGCGCCTTGAAGCAAGCACGACCTGTACTTGTGGGCGAACGAAAATGCACGAAACCAGAGCGGAGGTTGGGACAACGTTTGGAGGTGGTTACCCGGTGATTGAGCTGCGATGAGGGAGGGGTTAGTTGCGACAGGAGGGGAAAATAGGAGGCTATTTCGTTGGACCATCTAGGCATAAGGTGGTCTGCCGAGTCGCATAGGTTAATAATCATGCTTACGTTGCGAGGAATCTGACTAAAAAAACTCATCTGCAGCCTAATCCCGCTAATACCTGTTCCGGTTCCGGCATTGAGTTTCGTTGACCGCCGTTGACGCTGACGTGACACCATTAGCACATCATTGCGTTAGTTCTTGACGTATTTGCGTCATTTTGTTAACAGAGTACGCACGTAGGTTGACGTGCAAGTTTGACTGCGTGGTCATTTCGTGAGGCGACCGAGCTAGTCGACCAACAGCATGGTTGCCCGTATAGTAGACACTCCTTGTTAACATCGCCGCGTCTTTTGCGTCGCTTCTCTTCACTTCACTCCGCTTCGCAACCGTCGTCGCAGCAGTCGCCGCCTTCCCTCCCTCTGCGACGACGTTGCACGTGCTAGTTACGGCCTACTAGCCTTACGCGACGCCATGACGGGCCGACTATTAATGCCCAGCCGAACGATTCCGGCTCTCGCGCTGCTGTTGCTGCTGCTTCTCGTTCTGCTGTCGCCTGCTTTCCTCGGGACTCGATTCGACGGCGTTCGAAGCGCGGCCGCAGCGCCTTTCAGCGTGATGGACTCTTACGCCCCGGCCTGCGGGCCGCTACCGCGGAAAGAGCCCAGAGGTGCGCCTTGCAAAGGGTGGAAAGGGTTCGAACCGCAGTAGAGAACCCAGAGGTGTCCCTTCCTTCCCCTTTCCCCCCCCCCCCCACCCCTTCCTCTCTTGCCTGGCAGCTCTGGAGCCGAGCAGTCCCTATTCCCCCTTCCCCCTGGTCCTCCAGCTCCTCTCTTCCCCTTTCCCCGTCCCCTTCCGCCTCCCCATTCCCCGCTCCCTTCCGCCGTCCGCTTCCGCCTCCCCCTTCCCCTCCCCCTTCCCCTCGTCCTTCCCCTCCCCATTCCAGCCTGGCAGCTCCAAAGCCGAGCCCCCTCAACTTCCTCCCTTCAGCTCTCCTTTGCCCCCTCTCTTCCCCCTTCCCCCTTCCTTTCTCCCCTTTGCGCCCCTCCCCCTTCCCATCCCCTCCCCGTTTCTTCTCTCCCCCCCCTTTCCCCCATCCGCCCTTCAGCCTGGCAGCTCTGGAGCCTAGCAGACCCTTCCCCTCCTCCCATCCTCATTTCCCCCGCAACCCCCCCAACCCCTTCACCCGGCCCCTCCTCTCCCCCCTCCTCTCACCCCTCCTCTCCCCCCTCCTCTCCCCCCTCCTCTCCCCCCCCATTTCCCGCTTCGCCCTCCAGCCTGGCAGCTCTGGAGCCTAGCAGTCCTTCCGCCCTTTCGTCCGCCCTTTCGTCCGCCCTTTCGTCCGCCCTTTCGTCCGCCGTTCAGCTCCTTTCCACCCCTTTCCCTTCCCCTTCCCCCCTTCTCCCCTTCCTCTTCCCCTTCCCCCTCCTTTTGCCCTTCCCGTTCCCCCTTCCGCCCTCCAGCCTAGCCGAGCAGCCCCTTCCCCCTTTCCCCCTCCCACCCCCATTTCCCCGACAAACAAACCCCCTCTCCCCCCACCCCCTCCCCTGTCCCCTCCCCCACCTCCCCTACCCCACCTTTCAACTTTTCTGCTTCCCGTGCCCCCCTCTCCCCCCTTCCAGCCTGGCAGCTCTGGAACGGCAACCACCCCACCTGCTTCCCCCCCCTTCCCCTCTCCCTGCTCCCATCCCCTCCCCTCCCCTCCCCCCTCCCCCCTCCCCCTCCCCCCTCCTCCCTCCCCCCTACCCGCGAACCCCCCCTCCCTTCCCCCCCTCTCCAGCCTGGCAGCTCTGGAGCCGAGCAGCCCCCTCCCCCTTTCCCCCTCCCACTCCCAGCTCCAGCCAACTCCCCATCTCGCCACCCTTCCCCTCGGCTTTCCCCCCAGCGCCCCCTCTTCCTCCCCCCTCCCCCTTCCAGCCTGGGAGCTGTGGAGCAGAGCAGCCCCTTCCCCTTATCCCCCTTATCCCCCTTATCCCCCTTTCCCCCTTTCCCCCTTTTCCCCTCTCCAACCCCCACCTTTCACCCTCCCCTTATCCATCCCCCTCTCCCTTTCCCCCCACCCCCTCCGCCCTCCAGCCTGGCAGCTGTGGAGCCGAGCATCCACGTGGGCGTTCAGGGGGGGGAAGATTCATTTCCCCCCTCCCCATCCCCCTCCCCCTCCTTCCCTCCCTCTCCCTCTCCCCCGCCGCCCCCTTTTTCAACAGCCTGGCAGCTGTGGAGCCGAGCTTCCACGTGGGCGTTCATGGGCGGGAAGGTTCCTGGAATCGGGGCGAGCGTGGGGGCCAATGTGACGATCCCATGTGGCAGGGCTGTGCTCCTGGACGTGCCACGTGTCAGCCTTGGATTGCTCATCGTGAAGGGCTGGTTGAGGTGCGCAGCAGTTACTACAGCAGAAGAACAGTATTATGGCTCAATATATATGATGCTAAAGTTCTGTTGAGTTTTTGATACGTTGTTTACTAATGTCTAAGCTTTATTAGAAATCTCAGCTTGCTGTGTGTTATTATGGCCTCTGCCTTCTCTTGATATATTTTTCCCCCGATTGCTGTATGTTTTGTTTATTTGTTCTTTCTTTTTTATTCCATTGACCGATGACAGATTGCTGGACAACCCGTTTGTACCCTCTATAAGTGTCCAAGCCCGGTACATTATAGTGTACGGTCGCCTATCTGTGGGTACAGAGAAGTACCACTTCAGCTCCCAAGCCACCTTCACGCTCGTCCCAAACCTCAGGTTCGGCCGAGCCTTTCAACTCGTTTTGCCTGCATTGCCTGCTGGCAACATTTCTTTCGAAGAAAGTTAATCATTCTTCTCCCCCTGATTTCCTGTCTTGTGCGGCTCATCATTTCTCAGGTTTGGGCGGTCCGAGTTCTTGCTTCGGCAGCCAGCTCCGGCCGATCCTGCCCACCCTCGCAGCCTCGGGCACAAGGCGTTCGTGGTGGTGAGTGCACTGCGGATGCTAGTTCGTTCGTGTTTCTTAAGTTCCCTAATAAATGCACGATCCGCAAATTGTTGGATTGCTGCTGGTGTGTGTTTTCATGGCATGATTTTCACTCCACCCCCTCTCTGTTGCTCTCAGGTGGGCGGTCAGGTGGATTTCCACGGCATGCCAGGCGGCGCGAGCACGCCCGCGTGGGTCCGGCTGGCACAACGGGCCAATAAGGGCGCGCGGCAGATCACTGTAGACGCTGACGTCAGCACGTGGCCCCGAGGTGGCGTGATTGCATTGGCGAGCACGACACCGGATCTGAATAACGCCGAAAAAGCAATCATTACTGGAGGTGGGTGGGCAATCATTACTGGAGGTGGGTGGGCAATCATTACTGGAGGTGAGTGCTTTCAGTTGCTCCTGTTGACTCTCACATCATATACTTCTTTCACCTGCTTCATTCATTTTCCCTTCTGCCCCTCCCTTTCTCAACCAGTGAGAAGAATCGGCCCCTCCACCAGTGTGATCTCTTTGTACCGCCCACTGAAGCACTCTTATGACGGGGAGAGGCACGCTGTGAGGGACGGGTGTGGTGTGCTTAGCCTCAACCCTGCTTGATGTGAACAAGTTCCCAGCTCCTCCCTGCCCGTCCCTGTGCCACCCACAGTGAGAAGAATTGGCCCCTCCACCAGTGTGATCCCTCTCTACCGCCCTCTGAAGCACTCTCACGATGCGGAGAGGCATGCTGTGAGGGACGGGTTTGAATTTCGTTGACTCAACCACTCCACTCCACTCCACTCCACTCCACTCCACTCCACTCTCCCGCCTTTCTGCTCCTCCCTCCCCTCTTACAGTGCGGAGAGTCAGCCCTTCCAGCAGCATCATCTCTCTCTACCGCCCTCTGAAGCACTCGCACGACGGGGAGAGGAATGCCGTGAGGGACGGGTTTGGAGGCACCGTGGACGTTCGAGCCGAGGTGGCGCTGCTGACGCGGAACATTGTGATTCAAGGCGTGCACGAACAGCCTCCGTACCAATATGATGGTGAGAAAATGCGTGACTGCATCGGGAGGGAAGGAGAGAGGGGTTGAGTTGAGTGCAATGACTGAGTGGAGGGTGGGTTTGGTTGGAGGCACGGTGGACGTTCGAACGGAGGTGGCTCTGCTGAGCCGCAACATTGTGATTCAAGGGGTGCACAAATAGCCGCTCTACTAGTATCATGGTAGGTAATGACTGAGTGGAGAGTGGGTTTGGTTGGAGGCACGGTGGACGTTCGAGCCGAGGTGGCGCTGCCGACGCGGAACATTGTGATTCAAGGGGTGCACGAACAAACAGCCTCCATACCAATATGTCGGTAAGTGAGAAGTGTGATGGTACCGGTGAACTTGACTTTTGAGGCGCCTCAAAAAGTGGTACCGGTGAACTTGCATGTGTGCATGTGTGCATGTGTGCATGTGTGCATGTGTGCATGTGTGCATGTGTGCATGTGTGCATGTGTGCATGTGTACATGTGTACATGTGTGCGTCTGGTGATGCTTGCCTGTAAACAAGTGTGCGTTTGCACTCCAGACGCACTGTGTTTCCCTCTCTCTTTGCTCATACTACTCCCTCCTCCAAGAAACCTCACCTCCCCCCCTCCTTCCCCCCTCTCAGGCGGTCACTTCATGGTTTTCATAAGTCGCACGCCCCAGGCGATTCACGGCGTGCAGTTCAAGGGGCTGGGGATGCAGGGCAGCCTAGGGCGGTACCCCCTTCAATATTACGCGTGTGTGTGCGTGACGCACTTGGGGCACTGCCTGCCTGCCCCACTCTCTTGGCCCATAAACCCCCAAGCACCCCCCTCCTTCCCCCCTCTCAGGCGGTCACTTCATGGTCTACATGACTCGCACGCCCCAAGTTATTCACGGAGTGCAATTTAAGGGGCTGGGGAATCAGGGCAGCTTGGGAAAATACCCCATTCACTTTCACGTGTGCGGCAACGCGAAGCGACGGTTCTTGGTTCACAAGAACGTGATTCTGGAGTCGAAACAGGTGAGAGGGAGAAGAGGGAGAAGGGAGCAATGAGGGGAAGAGAAGGGGCACTGCTACATGCTTCCACTCTCTATTTTATGTGTTTGTTCCCTCTTCCCTCCCCTCTCCCCTTGCCTCTCCATGCAGCGCTGCATTGTGGTACATGCCACATCGCGAGTGACTATAGCAGACAACGTGGAGTACGAGACCAGGGGGCACTGCTTTGTGTTGGAGGAGGGCAGTGAGGCGAGGGAGCACTTCTTCCTCACTCCCTCGCCAGCGAGGGGGCAGTGAGGCAAGGGAGCACCGCTGTTTCATGCCTCCTCCGCTCTCATTTTCCCTCTCCTATGTGTCCTTCCCTCCCTTTCCCTTTCCCTGCAGCGCTGCATAGTGGTACATGCTACCTCGTGCGTTACTATAGCAGACAACGTGGCGTACGAGACGAGTGGCCATTGCTGCTTCATGCGTCCCCTCTGTATTCCGCTGCTTCATGTGTTCCCCATGTGCAGCGCTGCATAGTGGTACATGCTACCTCACGGGTCACTATAGCAGACAACGTGGCGTACGAGACGAGGGGGCACTGCTGCTTCATGCGTCTCCTCTGTACCCCGTTTTTTCCCTGCATTCCATGCCTCCCTTGCCCTTTCCCTGCAGCGCTGTATTGTGGTACATGCCACCTCGCGAGTTACTATTGTGGACAACGTGGCGTACGAGACGAGAGGGCACTGCTTTGTGTTGGAGGAGGGCAGTGAGGCGAGGAACACGTTTATCCGCAACCTGGGCATGAGCACACGCGCTGGTGGGTGCTTTTTGAGTCACACGTGTGGTGTGGGTCACGAGCACTCGTGCTGGGAGTGGGAGTGAGTGAGGGAGTGGGAGTGAGTGAGGGAGTGGGAGTGGGAGTGGGAGTGGGAGTGGGAATGGGAGTGGGAGTGGGAGTGGGAGTGGGTTGGGAGTGCGAGTGGGAGTGGGAGAGTGGGTGTACAGGAAGAACACATTTATTCGGAACTTAGAATGAGCACACACGCTGGTGAGTGCTCAGTGTTTCAGCTCTAGGTCTAAGCACTCTCACTAATTCACTATGTCCTTTTACCCGCTTTCTTCTTTCCCCCTTTCATGTTCATCCCTCATCTCTCCTCCCCCCTGTTTCATTCACCCCTCACTCTCCCCCATTCTCCACCTCTCTCTCTCTCGCACTCTTTTCCCCTCCTCCAGTGCATCGGCTTATACCACCCACCTCTCTTGCTAAGTTCGACCGCCAGACAGACGACAAGCCGTCTACTTTCTGGCTCGCCACGCCCTTCAATAGCTTTGTGGGGAACGTGGCTGCTGGGTCGGAGGACTCGGGGTGAGTGTGGTGAGTGTGGTGCAGTGTGGTGCAACGTGGTCTTTGGTATTGTAAACCGTTTTTGGCGGATGCCTCTTGGCTTGCCACGCCCTTCAATAGCTTTGTGGGGAACATGGCTGCTGGGTCGGAAGACTCTCAGGTCAGGGTGAGTGGAATGAAGTGGAGTGGAGTGCAGAGGAGTGGAATGAAGTGGAGTGGAATGAAGTGGAGTGGAATGAAGTGGAGTGGAATGAAGTGCAGTGTGGTTCTGTACTGTACTGTACTGTACTGTACTGTACTGTACTGTATACCTTGCTGGTTTAAATGCCTCTTGCCTCGCCACGCCCTTAAACTCAACAGCTTCGTGGGCAACATGGCTGCTGGGTCGGAGGATTCGGGGTGAGTGGAACGGCGTGGAGCGGTGTGTAGTGCGGTGCAGTGCGGTTCTATGTTCTGTAGACTTTACAAGCACTGCTGACAGCATCTCCCCTTCTGGAGAAACCTCTCCCCCGTGACGCTCGCCTTTGGGGTCTTCACAGGCAACGTGCTTCACTCCAACCACCGCCCTCTTTCCCCTTCGTCTTGTCTGCGCATGCTTTCTCCTCTTCCCTGCCCCATCCCTCCACCTACATCCCTCCCCCCAGCTTCTGGCTAGAGCTCAACAAGCACATGAGCGGGCTCTCTAAGAACCTCCCCTTCTGGAAAAACCTCTCTCCCGTGACGCTTGCCTTTGGGGTCTTCACAGGCAACGTGCTTCACTCCAACCAACGCCCTCTTTGGCCTCCCCTCTTGCGCGCTCATGCTGTCTCCTCTCCCTGCCTGCCCCATCCCTCTCTCCCTTCTCCCCTCCCCCCACATCCCCCTCCCCCAGCTTCTGGCTAGAGCTAAACAAGCACATGAGGGGACTCTCTAGGAGCCTCCCCTTCAATGCTCATGCCCTGGCCCTTGTACTCCCTCTCCCCGTTCTTCCTTGTTTTGCCCCTCCCCTCCTTTCCCTCCCCTCCAGCTTCTGGCTAGAGCTAAACAAGCACATGAGGGGTCTGTCCAAGAATCTGCCCTTCTGGAAAAACCTCTCCCCCGTGACGCTCGCCTTTGGGGTCTTCACAGGCAACGTGCTTCACTCCAACGCCCTCTTTGGGTTCCGCACCTACCCGCACGGTGCTCGCCCCGCGTTCCCCTCGAAAGGGAAGGGAAGAGAATCAATTCAAGTAAGTCAACGCCAGTCAATGGAGGTACATACATGGCAACGTGCTTCACTCCAACGCCCTCTTTGGGTTCCGCACCTACCCACACGGCGCCCGGCCCGCGTTCCCCCCGCAAGGGCAGGGCAGGAAGGCGCTTCAAGTAAGTCAACGGTAGTCAATGCCAGTCAACGCTAGTCAACTGTCAACGCCAGTCAATGCCAGTACACATGGCAACGTGCTTCACTGACTACCTCTTTAGCCTGCGCGCCTACCCTCACGGCGGCTGCCCAATGTTTCCTTTGAGAGGGATAAGAAGGAAGGCGGTGAAAATATGTCAATGCTAGCTACCAACACTAGTCAATGTTAGTCAACGCTAGTCAACGTTGGTCAAAGATGGTCAGAGGTAGTCAACGCCCTCTTTGGCCTCCAAACCTACCCGCATGGTGCTCACCCCATGTTCCCCTCGAAAGGGAAAGGCAGGAAGGTGATCCAAGTAAGTCAACTGCAGTCAACTCTAGTCAAGTCGACACCATCCATTGTTAGTCAACGCCAGTCAACTCCAGTCAAATCCACTGCTGTTAGTGTCACAAACTTCGGTTTCCCCCCTCTCCTCCACTCACCCCTTTTCTTCCGGCATCTCCACCACTCACCTCCCTCCTCCTTGTCCTCCAACCCCCCATTCCCTCCCCTCCCTTTCCCTCTCTCTCACCCAGGTGCGCATCTCTCACTCTCTCGTCTACAGCAACCCCATCGGGTGAGCACTGATGCTGCTCGAAAGTGTCTCATGAGTGAGCAACGCTGCTGCTGCTGCTGCTGCTGCTGCCGCGGCTGCTGCTGCTGCCGCGGCTGCGGCTGCAGCTGCCATACTTTTCTTTCTTTTCTGTAGCTTCTGTATCTGATCCTCCTGTATCTCTTGAGACGTCTTCACACTCCTTCCCATCCTCCTTTCCCCTCGCTTCCCTTCCCCTCCTCCCCACCTTCCCCCTCCACCTGTACAACAGCCAGAGCATCACCATCGGTCACTCCACCTTTCTCAACAACCGCATTGCCATCGTTCTCAACCGCAACTCCCCTTTCCACCCACCCTTCCCCCCCACTCCCCCTCCCAGCACATTCCTGTGCAACAGTCAAAGCGACACCCTCGTCAAAACCCATCTCACACCTCTTTCTTACTGCCCCTCTCCGCTCCCTCCCTCCCTCTCCTCCCTGCTCCGTCCCCTGCCCTTCCCACACCCAGCGTATTCCTGTACAACAGCCAGAGCATCACCGTCGGCCACTCCACTTTCCTCAACACCCACATTCAATTTCTTTCGTACTTCCCCGTCTACCAACCACCCACCACCCTCCTTCCCCCCCACCCAGCGTATTCCTGTGCAACAACCAGAGCATCACCGTCGGTCACTCCACCTTCCTCAACAACCGCGTTGCCATCAACCCTGAACCGCAACTCCCTCTCCCCCGCTTCCCTCCCCTTCCAACCCCTCCTTCCCCCCCACCCAGCGTATTCCTGTGCAACAACCAGAGCATCACCGTCGGTCACTCCACCTTCCCCTTCCAACCGCATTCAATCTCTTACTTTCCCTGTCGACCAAACCTTCTCCCGCCTCCTTCCCCCCCTCCCAGCGTATTCCTGTACAACAATCAGAGCATCACCCCTTCCTCCTCTCTCTCACCCCTTCCTCCTCTGTCTCCGCCATTTCTTCCCCGTTCGCCCAGCGTATTCCTGTACAACAGCCAGAGCATCACCGTCGGCCACTCCACCTTCCTCAACAACCGCATCGCCATCGACCTCAACCGCAACTTTGGGATCCTCATTCTCGCATGCACCTTCATCGGCCGTACAGCTTGCAGCAGGTAACACTCTCACATTGGTGGGTGCGGATATGAGTTTGTGTAGCAAAACATGTGTAGAAAGTAGAGACGTCTCAAAAATCTACTTTCTACACAAAACATGCAGTGCAACCATCCTATCCATTCCACCTTCCTCAACAACCGCATTGCAATCAACCTCAACCGCAACTTTGGGATCCTCATCCTCATATGCACCTTCATCGGCCGCACTGCTTGCAGGTAAGAAAACAATGAGTGTGTGGATAGACATGTGTCTGACATTACAGGCCATGCAACTGTCCACTCAACTACCCACCTTCCTCCACAACCGCATTGCCATCGACCTCAACCGCAACTTTGGGATTCTCATCCTCACATGCACCTTCATCGGCCGCACGGCCTGCAGGTGCCTCTTATAGTGTGTGCAGGGAAAGAAAGGAGAAGTAATCATGTGCAGTTGCAGGTAACACTGCTAGCTAGCCAGTCCATACTTTGGCATCCTCATCCTCACGTGCTTCTGTTGTCCTCTTTCACTGCTCCCCGTGTACATATCTCCTCCCCTTTTAAGACGTCTCAAAACTCATCCTCGCGTGCTCCTGTTGTCCACTTGCATGCACTGCTCCCCGTGTACATATCTCCTCCTTTCCTGTGGCCCAGCAGCAAATCGTCTGGAGGGTCAACACCTTACGATGCTGCACCGAAACAACTCCTGCCGTCAAGCCCTCCACAACTCATTCTGCCAAGACATGGAACTGCCATCAACTCATGCCATCAACACATGCAACACCACAGCTAATGCCATATGTTTCCTCCTTCCCCTTTGCCCCAACAGCAAATCCTCTGGAGGCGGAGGATCAACACCGTATGATGCTGCATCGACACACCTAATGCCACCAACCCCGCCACAGCTACTGCCATCAACACACGCCCCAACACCGCTCATGCCATCAACACAGGTAACACCACAGCTACCAGCAGGAGGAGGAGCATCGTCTAGCCTACACATTGAAGCTGCTACTAACGAGGATGAAATGGAAGGGTACACCACGTCGAACTGGCAGTCGCCTGGTTTGATGCTAACTGCGCCACAGTACAGTATGGAGGATGACTATAGCGAGGATGATAATAGTGAGACAGCCGAAGCAGCTACTAAAGGGGTTATGGGAAGTGGAGGGAAGTGGGGATGGAGGAGGAGAGTGCGTGGAGAGATAAATGGATCGGCTTATAACGAGGATGAGGGAGATGATGTGGGGTTGGGTGAATCTATTGCGAAAGTTCTTAGCGCTTATATAAAGGATGGGTCAGCATATAATGAAGATAAATTACTTGATAATGGCGATGAAACAGTTTACAACGATAATGAGGATGACAATGAGGTACACGAAGAGGAAGAGGTGGAGGAAGAGGAGGGGGAGGAGGAAGAGGAGTATGGGGGCAATGGGATCGAGGCGGTGAGGAGGGTAAAGGAGATGGCGACGAGGGGGCGAGTGGCGGCGGGGTTCTTCTATTCGCGGGACGGCGGCACGTTCAAGAGCCCCATCGGGGTGATGCTGAGCCAAGTGAAGCTGAGCGGCATGCTGGAGGCGAATAGGGTGGTGAATAGCAGGTGAGAGAAGGGGGGGGAGGGGGGTGGGGGGGGAGGACTGGGAGAAGAAGGGGTATAGGAGGTTGGCTGTAGGGTAGGGGGGAAGGGGACAGGCACGTTCAAGAGCCCCATTGGGGTGATGCTGAGCCAAGTGAAGCTGAGTGGCATGCTGGAGGCAAACAGAGTGGTGAATAGCAGGTGAGAGGGAGGGGTGTGGAGGGGTAGAGGGGGTTGGCTGTTGGACAGAAGGCATGGCACATCCCATTGGGGTGATGCTGATCAGGTTCTCGGGGTTTTGTTGAGTGCGGCCCCACTCTGTGTGGGGTGTTTTTTTTTCTGTAGCGTACTTTGTTGAGGCGACTCAAAAAAACACCTCTCGCTTCATCCTCCTCTCTCATTTTTCCCTTCTCCGCATCACATCAGGTTCTCGGGGTTTGGTGAATGCGGCCCTACTCTGAAGAGCTCTGCCCTGCTTAGGATCCTCACAACCCTCATGACTTTTGAGTCGACTCAAAAGATCCTCACAACAACCCTCATCTCTCGTCTTCCCCGCTTTCCCCTCTTCCCTCTTCCCTCAACACATCAGGTTCTCGGGGTTTGGTGAATGTGGCCCCACTCTGAAGAGCTCTGCGCTGGTGTTGGCAGTGAACAAGGCAGGCGGATTTTGGAACCCGGCAATGAGTGTGAAGGTGAGAGGGGTGATTGAGTGAGAGAGTGAGCGAGATTAAGGGAGGGTAAGTGAGAATGAGTGTGAATGCGGCCCCACTCTGAAGAGCTCTGTGCTGGTGTTGGCAGTGAACAAGGCAGGCGGATTCTGGAACCCGGCAATGAGTGTGAAGGTGAGAGGGGGCTAGAGTAAGTGAGTGCTGCTGTGTGTGTGAGTAACGGAGAGTTGATGTGTGAAGGAGTGAGTGAATGAGTGTGAGTGTCACCCTCTTTGAAGAGCTCGGCCCTGGTGTTGGCAGTGAATAAGGCAGGCGGATTTTGGAACCCGGCAATGAGTGTGAAGGTGAGAGAGGGAGTGAGCGAGCGTGAACAGCGAGAGAGTGTAAGGGAGCATAAGAGAAAGGGATTTGAGTGTGCGTTCCGCATCTGCCACAAGGTAGCTCGTTGCTGCTCCTAGCACCCTCCCATTGCCCCCTATCACCCCTCTCTCCTCCCTTTTCCCTAAACCCTAACTCTCAAGATTTACATCCTACTCAACCCTCCTCCCTTCCTTTTCCGGCTCTCCGTTCCGCTATTCCCTAAATCAGGGCCTTCAATTCACATCTGCCACAAGACGGCTCTATGCTGTTCCCAATGCGGTACGTGCTGCTATTTGCGGTATGTGCTGCTATTTGCGGTACGTGCTTCTATTTCGAGCATGTGCTCTCGTCTCAGGGCCTTCAATTTACATCTGCCACAAGACGGCTCTATGTTGTTCCCAATGCGGTACGTGCTTCTGCTTGTGGTAAGTGCTGCTATTTGTGGTAACTGCTGCTATTGAAGGTACATACGGCTATTTGTGGTACGTGCGGCTATTTGTGGTAAGGGCTGCTATTTGTGGTACATGCGGCTATTTGTGGTAAGGGCTGCTATTTGTGGTAAGTGCTGCTATTTGTCGTAAGTGCTGCTATTTGTCGTAAGTGCTGCTATTTGTGGTAAGTGCTGCTATCTGTGGTAAGTGCTGCTATTTGTGGTAAGTGCTGCTATTTGTGGTAAGTGCTGCTATTTGTGGCAGGTGCTCCTATTTGTTGTAAGTGCTGTACTTTGCGGTACATGCACCCTCCCTTCTCCTCCACCATTCCCCTCCCCGGCCCAACCGTCCTGTCCCAAGGGAACTTTCCCATTCTCCTCCTCCAACGTTCGGATGTATGCTTTGCACGATGCCGATGGTTCCTCGCTCTCTTTTCTTGACTTTCCCCCTTCCCTCTTACGCCTTCCTCTTCCCTTCTTACCGCCCAACCGCCCTGTCCCCCGAGGTGGTTCACTCACTCGTTTCTATGCCCTCCACGATCCCAATGGCTCTTTCCTCTCCTTACTTGACTTCCCCCCTCCCCACCTCCCCTTTTCCCCTCTGCTCCTCTCTCCCATTCTCCCCTCCATCCCAATGGCCCTGTCCCCCGAGGTGGTTCAAACGCTCGGTTCTATGCGCTGCACGATGCTGATGGTTCCTTCCTCTCCCATCCTAGTTTTCCTTTTCTGACCACTATGTCTCCTTCTTACCTCTCTTCCTTTCAACTCACCAACCCAACAAGCCTGTCCCCCAAGGTGGCTCCAACGCTCATTCCTACACGCTGCGCGATGCTGATGGCTTTTTCCTCTCCTTACTTGACTTTCCCCCTCCCCGCCTCCCCTTTTCCCCTCTGCTCCTCTCTCCCATTCTCCCCTCCATCCCAACCGCCCTGTCCCCCGAGGTGGCTCCAACGCTCGGTTCTACGCGCTGCATGATGCCCATTCTGCTGCACGATGCCGATGGCTCTTTCCTCTCCTTACTTGACTTCCCCTCTCCCGCCTCCTTCTCCCCGTTCTCTCCCTCTCCCATTCCCCCCTCCAGCCCAACCGTCCTGTCCCCAGGGGCGGCTCCAATGCTCGGTTCTACGCCCTCCACGATGCCGATGGCTCTTTCCTCTCTTTACTTGATTTCTAATCTGCGCCCCTTCCCCTTACCACCCCACCCCCCCTTCACCTCTCCAGCCCCGCCTTGTCCCCAGGGGTGGCTCTAACACTCGGTTCTACGCCCTCCACGATGCCCATGGCTCTTTCCTCACCTTTGATCTCCTCCTCTCCTTTCCCCTTCCCTCTCCAGCCCAACCGCCCAGACCCCAGGGGAGGCTCTAACGCTCGGTTCTACACCCTCCACGATGCCCATGGATCCTTCCTCTCCTCCCTTTAACCTCCGCTCTACCAACCTCCTCTTCCCCCCTCTCCATCTTCCCCCCTCCCCCCCCCTCTCCCCCCTCTCCCAATCTCCCCTCCAGCCCAACCGCCCTGCCCCCCGAGGTGGCTCCAACGCACGGTACTATGCCCTCCACGACGCCCATGGCTCCTTTTTCTCCTTCCTTTGATCTCCCATCTGCCCATCCTACCTCCTCCCCTTCCTCCTTCCACCTTGCCACACCAGCCTAACCGCCCTGTCCCTCGAGGTGGCTACAACGCTCGGTTCTATGCCCTCCACAATGCCCACGGCTCCTTCCTCTCCTCCCTTTGATCTCCCAACTGCTTTCCCCTTCCCTCCCCAGCCCAACCGCCCTGTCCCACGAGGGGGTTCCAACGCTCGATTCTACGCTTTACACGACGCCGATGGTTCCTTCCTCTCCTCCTCCTCTCCAGCCTTCCCTAGCGCCGCCCGTCCAGCCTACCTCGTTGCTCCGTTCCACCCGATCCTGCCGCCAGCCTCGGTCCGAACCTCCCTCTGCCAGTACCATGACACGTGGTCACTCTACTCGTGCAGGTTCGTGCGTTTCCGAACCTGAGTGTCAGGTACGGTGCAGGACATCCTTTTTTTGGGTTGCTGTGGCGTCTTTGATTGCCGTGCTGGTTTTTCACCTGTCGAAGCTCTATTGTCTTTGAGACGTCTCAAAAACAACCTCGCTACACGAAGCTCTATTGTCTTTGAGACGTCTCAAAAACAACCTCGCTACACGAAGCTCTATTGTCTTTGAGACGTCTCAAAAACAACCTCGCTACACGAAGCTCTATTGACTTGCAATATCAACCGCGTTTCCATTCAACTTAATCTTGGTTCTTCCTTCCACTTTTCCTCCTCCTCACCTCCCCTCCAGGTCCGTCTGCTACCGAGCCATCGCCCTGACCTACCTTGAGTATGGCGTGCCGAGCCTATCGCGGAACCAAATCAAGAAGCGCCGGATCCGACCCTACTCCACAGCAAAGTTCACCCGACTAACTGACCGAGCCTATTTCTATTCTCTAGGAGACCGAAACGACTATTCCAAACTGTACAAAGGCCCGCAGCCTGTTCTTCGAACGATAACTGCGACTCTCTTAGCGGGGCACGCTTATTCGGTGGAAATCACCCCGCCGAGTGTAAATAGGGGGTTTTACCCTGCGAATATGACGGTGCGGGTGCTGGATAAAGGGGGGTGCGCTGGAGGGCTGGAGCTGCGGATTGTGCCGCGGACGAGAGTGACTCAATGGAGGACTATTACGAATGTGCCACAGCTGTAAGTCACCATGAGTCGAGGGTTGAGGGTGTGCTGGAGGGCTGGAGCTGAGGATGGTACCACGGAGGACTATTGAGAAGATTCCCCAGCTGTAAGTCACCTCTGTAATCCTCTTCACTCCTCTTCACTCCTCCGGTCGCCCCTCTGCCAATGGGGGGTGCGCTGGAGGGCTGGAGCTGCGGATGGTACTGCAGACGAGAGCGACTCAATGGAGGACTATTGAGAAGATTCCGCAGCTGTAAGTCTCCTCTGTACTCCTCTGCACTCCTCTGCACTCCTCCCTTCACCCCTCTGCCAAAGTCGACGCAGAAGTCAGCTGGATGTCTGGAGCTGCGGATAGTGCCGCAGACGAGAATGACCCATTACAGGACTATTGAGAATGTGCCTCAGCTGTAAGTGAAGAGTCGAGTTTAAGGGGTGGTGGTGGTGTGTCGGAGTCACCGTGAGTTTGAGGGTTGGGGGTGTGCTGGAGGGCTGGACAGAGGGGGGTGCGCTGAACCGCGTGTACTTGCTCTCTGCACTCCTCAGAACTCCTCTGCACTCCCATTTTTTCCCCCTCTGCCCTCCAGCCCTTGCCTGGGAAAGGGGGGTCGGAACCCGAACCGCATGTACCAGCGCTGCACGTACCGCAACAAGCAACCGACCCTGGCGCTCAGCTTCGGCCGAGCCTACGCACTGTACAGTGGAGTGAGCATCGTGCTGGGGAGGATGAAGAGCCGGACTTGCCCTCCAGTCAAGTGAGTGATGGCACATTTCATTTCCCCCAGGGCAGGGTTGTAGAGAAGATGGCTTAGTCAGAGGGAGGATTAGGTGAGATGAGATGAGATGAGATGAGATGAGATGAGATGAGATGAGATGAGATGAGATGAGATGAGATGAGATGAGATGAGATGAGATGAGATGAGGAGCCAAAAGTGCCTTCCAGTGAAGGGAGTGATGCTGCTTGGAAGGGCAGGGTGCGTATGGGAATACTTTCAGTTGCTGCTGGTGATGGTGGTGGTGGCAGATCCTTGTGTTGAAGAAATAGCTGTTCCTTGATCTAGCTGTTTTTTTATTCCCTGATCCCTTTTCATTCCAACCCAACCCAATCCAATCCAATCCAATACAATCCAATCCAACAGGTGCTGATGATTCATACTGGCAACAACCACACCTCGTGGTATGGCAGTATGGTGGTATGGCAAGGCGGTATGGCAACATGGCAACATGGCGGCACGCGGCATGGCAACATGGACGGAACTGGAACAGTATGGTGACGTGGTGGCATGGTGACATGATGGCATGGCGGCATGGCATCAGCATGGCGCGGTATGGCAACAGCTTGGAGCCTTTGTTCAAATGTCCCATCCCATACCAGTTACAGTTACAATGCAACTCCTTAATGCATGGTAATCTCCAGTTGTGAGAGGTGTTGGAGATTCATTTTTATTTTCACGTTTTCCCCTTCTCTGGCTGGAAAAAGGCCCATATTGCCAATGCACCTGCACTACTGAAAAAAGGAACTCAGCAATATAACTTACCGTAAGCCATAAATGAATGGTACAAACAAGCACAGCAAGCTACCGTACCGTACCTACCCGTCCCGGAAACCACAAACAAGCATCATTACATCAGAAACAACCAACTGGCCCATTTTCCACAGAAACCACCATACCAGAAAGAACCATTTAGCACCACGCTCCTGCCATGACCACCTGCGCCTGCCTGCAGCCCGCTCCACAAGTGAGTTGAACAAGCCCTGCCCAGTTTTCTTTATCACCGCCTCACCTTGCCTGCAGCGCCTGATGCCCCAGCCCCACACTGCCTCCAATGTACCAGCCAAACCACCCAAACCACCCAAACAACCTAGCACCACTTAGCACCACGTGCCTGCCATCACCACCTGCGCCTGCAACCCACGCTGCCTGAGCATCCCAGCCAGGGTATTAAACACGCTCTGCCCAATCTTCTTAATCACCGCTGTCACAAACGTGTTCATGCTCCTCACATCCTTGATCCCGCTCACACCCACGCCCAGTGCCGAGTTATAAAACTGCACCGCCGAATCTGTCGGAGCAGCCTTGCATTTGATCCAATCCAGAAGATAAGTCTTCACGCATTGGGAGTTCCTGGTGTTGCCTGCAGCCATGAGCACGTAGCTCTGGAAACTGGAGGTGGCGCCCTGGGTGCCTGGGCCCCAGACGGCGAACACGCTGCTGCGGATGTCGGATGAACCCTTGACGCTGTTCCAGAGGGTCTGCGAGCTGCAGTCGTCCTTGATCCACCACGTATACCACCTGCAGGGGTGGAAGGAGGGTGGGAGAGGGAGGGGGTAACTACAAAAAATCATTCTCTTTGGTAACAGGGAGGGCGCTACCGTCCCGCGGCGACTCCAGAAATTTCTGCTGCTGCTGTAGTCAGGGCGCATTTACACTGAAAGTCTCACCTGCTGGCGTAGCAGGGAGGAGCCACCGTCTCGCAGTCGGCGCACGAGCAGGTCTGCGCGAGGATCGCGGAGGCCTGGAGCGCGATGACGACGGCGAAGAGGAGCTTCGCAGGAGCCATGGTTGTTGATCGTTGAGGCGCCCCAAAAGTCAATTGTTGATAGGACGAGTCGAGCAGCAGACGGAGGAGTCAGGGAGATTGGTGGTTTACTAGTTGGTGAACACTTATTTGGCAGCGCTGGTAAAAGAAGCCAATGGAGTTATTGGGTTCTGAGGATTCTAAAACGAGAAGGTGGTCTGGTAGAGCGAATGAATTGCGATGCTTGGGTCTGGATTTGTCTGGCTTTTATACACGTCGGATCATAATCGGAAAATAAGCGACTCGGGACATGCTAGAAGAAGTGTTGCATTGACTTCACGACTGGATGACTCATCATCCTACATCCGACTTCACGACTGGATGACTCATCATCCTACATCCGACTTCACGACTGGATGACTCATCAACCTACATCCGACTTCACTTTTTGGGATCTATGCGTTGCTGTGCATAGCACGGCATGCTTTCCGAACAAAACATGTCTTGCTGTTCATCGGTGTCGCGCTGTTCATCCGTGTCGCGCTGTTCATCCGTGCCGCGCTGTGCAAACTGTGCCATCCTGTACTACTTGCCGTGCTATGATGATATAAGCGACTCGGTGTGTTTCGAGACGTCTAAAAACTAGGACGACTTGGTGCTAAGCCTCTGCTTGACTCGGCGTGAACAATAATCCTTGGCTGGAGAGGAAGGGGCCTGAGAGCGTGCTTCGAGGGAATAGTGGAGTAATTAGGGAGAGAATGGAGGACGGAAGGTAACGGAGGACGCGAGGGAATGGAGGACGGAAGGTAACGGAGGACGCGAGGGAATGGAGGAGAGGGACAAGAAGAAAACGAAAGAATGGGAGAGATGATGACAGAAAGGAAGAATCCATGGACTTGACCAGCTTAGCTGGGCTGAGAGGTTGCCTTGGTGTTACCGAGCGGAGTCCTGATTGGTTGGAAGAGTCAAATTCAGGGGGGTCGCTGGAATCGCGGATTTGGTGTGTGCGGGCGTTAAAATCCTCAACCATATAAGTACCATAATCGATTTGATTAGTATATTTGGTTCGGAAATCAGACAACTCAGATGACAGGTCAGCTTGCAACCTTGTACCCAAATATTTTCTTCAATGGCATGTACTATCAGATTCTGTCATAATCTTACGGGAAAGTTGTGTGTCGACTATCGAAGGGAAAGGATACAAAGGAGAAACCTAAGGGGTTGTACCCCACAGTGAGTACCCCACTAAGCCTAACCAAACTACCGTATAACAAATATACACATATGTTTGACACACCCCCATAGGCAAAGTGGGGGAGAACAAAGGGTCACAAGACCAGTCAGGAAGTGCAAAGCAAGCTCAGGGTGGATCACAACGTCACCACGCAGTCTGAGCACAAGCAAGAAGGCCACAAGGCCAGTTCACATGCAGAAATATATATGTAACAACAACAGTACAGTGATATCTACCTACAAGAACAAACATGCAAGAATACATATAAATCATGGTACAAACAAGGCCTACAGCAAGTGAGGAAGAGTGGGCACAAGGCCTAACAAAGTGCAGAAACGCTGATGATCACCAGGCGGAAGCGCCTTGGTGAATATATCAGCAGTGTTGACCTGAGTGGTCACGTAGGTAAGACGAAGCTGGCCACGCTGCTGCAGCTCTCGAGCAAGAAAGTAACGGAGAGCGATGTGCTTTGTTCTGTGCTCCAGTCTGTGCTCCTGACACAAGGCAATGGCGGCCTTGTTGTCGACGTACAGAACTGGAGGAGAACGAGGCCTCTCTCCCAAGTCGGTCAGCAGGTAAGTGAGCCAGCGCAGCTCCTGTGCAGCCATGGCTGTGGCGTAGATCTCTGCCTCACAGCTGGAGCCGAGAACTGAAGACGAACGTGTAGAACGCCAGGAAACTGAACCAGAACCAAGGCTGAAGGTGTAACCCTGTGACGACCACTGCGTAGCCTGGTCGTCAACCCAAGAGGCGTCCGAGTGACCTGTGAGGACAACGTCACCCCGTCCTCCAAGCACGAGCCCCATGCCCGATGTACTGCACAAGTAGCGTAGTACCCTCTTGGCAGCATCCATGTGCACCTTTCGGTGCCGACCAAGAGCCACATAGCGAGCCAGAAGGCCAA